TTATTAAATGCTTCATCATCGAGAAACATTTGTTAGGAATTTAAGGTTTCCACTAGTTTTGGTAAGCATTTACGACGATATTCAGTAGGAAATTTTCAGCATTTGGTCGAGCTATTCCCGATAATGTAACTGAGAGCGAAACCAATTCATCGGCTCTTTGTACGCATGAGATCTTTGTTTATTTCTTATCCTTAGCAATCGACCATAGAATTGGGCACGCAGGCTGATAAACTCATTATTTTGTCCTTGAAGGGTTGCTTAATAATTAAACGCGCCAAAGTGTGATTATTCTCCGCTTCCGAAAGCATAAATGCCTTTTTTTCTTTATATTCACGTTAACTGCTGGTGTCATTTTGTATGTAGAAATAAGTAGAATCTAATTAAATTGGAAACGACTCTTTGTCTGTTACAATGAACATCGGTACAGGAGTATAAATGTTACAGGAGTATAAATGTTAAATTATTTACTTCGGCTAGCGTATAATTCATATTCATCGTGTTGCTGTTCCTGTGTACGATTTAAATTATCTTTTCATATCACGAACGATTATGACGCATTACTTAATTAGGTCACTGATAGTGAATGCGATCACCGACAGCACACAAAGGATATTGCTTCTCACTGACAAGTGATGAGCTCCAGCGCCCCAGTGACCGTCTCTCGCTCGGCGGCCGCGCTGCCGGTCCCATGTTTTGACGGCCAGCCGCCGCGCCGATTCACCCCTCGGAATGCGTAGTGGGGGAAGGACACGCAGGGGGGAGGGGACGCTCCGGCCAGGCGGCGGCGCACAGACGCCGGCCGGCCCGCTCGGCGCGGGGGCGCCCGCAAATGGCGGCCGGCGCGGTGTGAAGGGAGTGCGGGCCGCTGGACACCGAGCCGGATTGATGACGTCACCACCCTAACTACGGGTGGATTCATGTGGGATACAGAGTAGCGAAACAGGTTCCGATGTAGCATTTAATGTACGATGAACATGTTGAAAACAATATTATATTTGTGGTTAATTAGCTCCTCCTAGTATCGCAATGAACCAATTTTTGGCAATGTCATGGATAATTAGTAGGAACATGTTCGATCAAATTTAAAGTGAAATTATAAACTCGGTTGGAAATGTTAATAAATATCTAATCTCTTAAATTTGTTAGCAGTTAATCAGTGACATTTGGTCATGTTGCAAATAAACACGGCGATTTATAAACCGGTCCGTCGCGTCGGTCAATCGGTATGAAGCCCTATTGGTTTATGATCTGTTGAGTGCTGGTCTACTAGCTATAGTTTCTCTCTCTCTCTCTCTCTCTCTCTCTCTCTCTCTCTCTCTCTCTCTCTCTCTCTCTCTCTCTCTCTCTCTCTCTCTCTCTCTCTCTCTCTCTCTCTCTCTCTCTCTCTCTCTCTCTCTCTCTCTCTCTCTCTCTCTTTCTTTCTCTCTCTCGCTCTTTGGCTTCTCAGCACCGATAACAACGAGCGATCGGAGGAAGATATTTATGGCAACCAGGCGGAGGTGCGCCCATGAACTGGGGTCGGCGGACTGTCTCGCTGGCCGGTGAACAGTCTCGCGGACGGCCGGCAGCGGCCGAACCTGGCCCACTAATGATCCGCTGGTATCCCTCGCGCCGTCAACAAAGGGGAGAGACGGGGTCGGGCTGATTCCGGCTCTGAGTGAGCGTCGGTAGGTCGGAATTGGGTTATTATGAATACTGCGCATGATACACCGAACGCTACAGTGCGGCACCTTATGGTGGAAAGTGGATGACGTCACGCAATAAGGTGTTATCTAGATGGGAGAGAGCGACAGAGTACATTGAAAGGCTAGTTTAAAATTAATTATTTAGCGTTAATATGTACAACGATACGTGTTCGATGGTGAATATTAAATGAAAATTAAAATTTTAATTATTAACCAATTTGCACCTATACATTTTAAATTTTCATTATTTCATATCAGGGTAAGATGCTAGCTTGATTTCAGCTTGTAAGCCGTAAGGATAATAGGACTCCATATCTTCCCATTGAGAATAGAATACCCGACTTTGACTCAGATAGCGAGGCCGTAAGTCTATGCATGTCGCTCCCCTGTGAGTGATATGCCTGCCAACGTGACTCTTGCACTTACTTGAGGTATTGGGAACAGGGTATGGGTTGCAGTTGCCTACTGAGAATTTGTCACGGGAAGGGAACATTGCTGCTGAAATATTTGCCTTATTTTGTTGGGTTACGTTATTTGAAGTCGGTCGTGCTAATTATGGGTTTCTGATTGGATGACGGGCTGGTGAGATATTTGCCCTTATCATCAGTATGTCCCTTTGAAGGCGTCCACAGTTCGAGCGAACATTCAAGTGATCGGTTTAGGAACGGGTGAGAGAAGTGAGCGGAAGGGAAGAGAATGCGTACAATATTAAACGAAATCTTTTAATTGACGTTCAACTGCGAAGAAGGAACCACACATGCTAGTCCCCGATTGAGTTAGCCGTGGGTGATGATAAGGTCACGCGAGCCGTCGCCTGGGATGTGTATCGGCGGGTGGGTCGCCGCGAGATGATGGTGTTTCGTCTCGGATTGACAGCCTCGGAGGCTGGGCAGATTTTAGGCCGCCGGGTTGGCCCGGAACCCCTGAGCTATGGCTGGAGCGAGATGCGGTCATTAGTATCACGGACGGACCTTAGTTACCCAGCCCGGTTTCAAAACGTTAGGTAGGTCCGCTATCGGTCCCTCAAGTGAGCGGCGCAGGACGTCATTTGAAGAGCGACGTAGATAGTTTCGGAGGTGGTTAGGACCCCAGGCGTTCTAGCGAGGGATCGTATGCCGCCGGATGAGTAATGCCCCGCGAAGAAACGTGTAATGCCGCAGGACGGGGGTAAACATTAGATACCGAGTATTCGAGTCGGGTGATCGCAGTCAGACGGTGCTGGCCACCCGCAGTCAGTCGAGTAGCTCCGGCCATGCTCTGGTCCTTTCGAATAGGTCTGTGACGACAGTTTAACTACCAGCCACGGATAGATAGGGCTCTGGGCATCTATGTGCTGGTAGTCGATGATGGATGCCGAGTGCAGGATGTCCCCGAGAGGACCTGCGTGCGTGGAAGACGAGTGTCGTCTTGATAGATAGCCGACGTAGGCTAACCCGTTTAGATCGCCGGTTTGGCCCGGAAACCCTGAACTATGGCTGGTGCGAGATGCGGTCATTAGTATCACGGACGGACCTTAGTAACCCAACCCGGTTTCAAAATTTAATGAGTCCCCCGTGGAAAGCCGGACTAAGGAGTCTCCTGCGAGCCCTGGTCTCGGGGCTGCGGGCCGGAGACGTTTTCCCTTTCTTTGTGTAGGCATTGGGCATGGTCAACTCAACTCGAGTGCCGAAGCATGAGGTGGTTCGTAATATTCTATTCGTGTGTTACGAGTATAACGAAGCGTTCGGCTGATTTACGGAGCATAGTAAAGGAACAAACCTTACGAAATTAAAACAATGACCCATTTTGAAATCCATTGTATGCACTGATACGTAAACGGAAGTTCCTGTCTTCAAACTGTTTTTTTTGGGGGGGGGGATAATTACGCGTATAGTGATTAGTCTGAACCTGGGTACCACTGGGGGATTGTAGGAAAACGGGGGAGGGACAGGTTTGCCACCTGAAATATTTTTACGATGCATGGAAGAATGAATGAGTGGCCGTGTGAATGAAGAATTAATGGTGAGAGCGTGAATGAGTTATATCCAGTGGGAGGAGGCACCCTCAACTCAGGGGATAACTTAAGAACAATAGACGCACAATTGTGAGATTTCGCTGGAACATTGATTGATAGACATTTTTGAGATTTCGTTAGAATATAACAGAAGGGAGCGTAGGCAGAGAGAAACATCAGGCAACCTTTTAATATCCCACCGTGAATGCCCACCAACCCTGTGACCCATGCCGCTGTACTGTGTGTAGCAGTCTATGTGCCCGCCAGTGAATGACCAGCCTCGCACAAACACTGATCAGTAGCCCGACACCCCGCTACAGATATAAGCCTCTCAAAAGCGTTACAGGCCGGGCCGGGCCGGGCCGGGCCGCTCAAACTGAGATTTTCCCCTTATATTGAAAAGACTCGCTTCGCTCGCTGCGCTCGCTCGCTCGTAATTAGGTTACTGACTTCGAACTTTTTCATATCGAGAATAGCTCGTGAAATCAATCTAAACGAGCTAGCGGGTTGGAAAAGTCACACATAGATTCCAAAAGGTCTGACAGATAGACTGATATGCAATATGAACTCCTGGAATATGACCACGCAGCTCCGTTACCTGAGTGATTTTGGCCTGGCCGTGACCAGAAGCCAACGTCCTGCTAGTTTTTCCCGAACAAAACGCCTATCATTCAACGCGCCTACGCATGAAGAATGGTACCAAAATCACTGCTCTACGATCGTTTCTAGCGAAGTACTTTCTAAAACCGGGGCCATACGGGTCTTTGAACTGACCTCATAGGTAACTGGTTGACCTGAGACCCTGAAATTGGATACTGCTGCGTCCTGTGACGGGCCACAGGCCCTTTTTTCGCAAAGCCTTTACTCAGTCAAGGGTGAAACGGTAAAGTTAGTCTATTATAATCGACCCCTACCCCTCGATCGGGGGTATCTACATAGTTATGAAGAAAATCGATAGGCTCGGGGTGGGTCAATTATGAGAGTAAGGTTAATTTCTTTTATGATATTTATGGTAATATCAAAGCTCCAAATAGTGTTGATTGCGATTCAAGTAATAAAATGACCCGTCCCAAGCTGTAAAATGTAATGTGGTAAAATGACTAAAACAGTTCATCCCAGATTTAAGAACAGCTGAGGAGCAGCCAGCATCGAATAAGAGCCAAAAAGAGCACCGAACATGTCCTAGCTAAGCAGTCGTGTAGCTGGTACATTTTTGCCTTTCTTTCAGAGAAACCGGTCTGAATTTACACGCGTTATTGTAGGTAAGCCTTTTTCTTAAAAAAAGTAGATAAATAAGAGGAATAGTAGCCGGGCGGACGCACCTTTAGTACCTGCGAAGAAGTACCGCCGGCTAGTAGAGCCGCCGACCCACAGTGCCGCCGACACGTAGTGACCCGTCCACAGCCAGCCAGAGCCGGAGCCACTCTGCTGAGTCAGTTCCGCGGGCCCGACCGCGCCTCGCGCTGTGGCCGCCAGGGGTGCTGGTGTGGCGACGCCGATCTCGTCGGCAACTCAGCTCAGAGAATGCGATTACCTGCGCTCTGAGCAATGCTCTGCGGGATACAGCTAGTTCAGAGTTCAGAGCTCAGACTAGGCTGACAGTCTGCTCTGGCACTGTCTGTTGCCTGTCAAGGGCGCTAATGCACTTCAATACATAAACGTTCACTGCGGCTCTTGCTGTAAACGGAGAGCCATCATTCTCGCTGATACCTGGTGATCTTTATATGCATACATACCTAGCGTCATCCGTTCCGTCGTTTCCATCCTCAGTATATTAAAATCATTATCTACCACGCCTCCACCCCCTGTTCCCGGCTGGGCGGGCAACTTTACCCCATGCGGGTAGTTGCCCTAGGAGCAGGCCCGTAGCCGGGTACGGTGACCGTCATGAGGGGGCTGGGTGGGGCCTCGTGATGGGCTCAGCTCCAACGGGTCACCAGGGCTGCCCGCCCATGTCTCCCCCTAATTCCTATCATCCTTCCGGCTCTGAACTGGTCTCATTAGACCGAAACAGCCTAACAAAAAAAAAAAAATAGGTACTAGCGTGATAACTTGCTCAGAGAAAGTAATATGGCTGTGCTCTTGAGAAAACTTCTTCTCGTTCGGGTACCTTTGGTGACCACGGGATGGGAACCTGAAAAAATGATGCCAATATCTTGGTGCAAAAAAAAAGTAAATAATTTTTCGCTACTCAGTTTTAAACAGAATGGCATACATGATACAAGTGATCAGTTCAAAAATCAATTATATATGTACGAAAAAAGGCCGAGCGGCGACGTCAATTGGGTAAGAAGAGCTATCAGCGAATTTAGCGCACGTATTCTTACGGGACGCATCGCTTCAATGTTCACATGCACAGGCCGCTCACTCGCCTTGCAGGGGCCGACGGCGAGAAGTGACAGACAGGCGGCAAGGGCTATCGCGAAGAAGACCACCAACGCCGGCAGGCTGCCGTCCGAGGTGAACGCCCGGACGGTGATGAGTCAGGTGAGGGTGAGGACGCCTTAGAGCAGCACGGGCACCATCTCGGCGCTGGAGGCGAACGTGACAGTCGGAGAGGAGACGCTGGAAGCGCGCCACCCGCTACAGCGCCAGCATGAACATTGTAAACGTCCCGCTGGAGGTAGGCTGTCCCGCAGCACACACGGGATCGGCGGGCTAGCATAACCACTCAGGCACTACAGCCCCGCCATCTGTGGGCAGCTACAGCAATTAGGTAAGCTCTCTAACCGGACGCGCCGTGCTACTGGCGTCTGGGAAGGGGATACGTTTACCCCTGCCTATCGTTTTTTTACACGCACCCTGTTCCCTAGGGGGGGGGGGGGGCGTACCTCACCGTTCTGACCCGAATTGGGCTAGAGCTTCGCTAAATACCAGCATATTCGCCGTTAGGAGACCCGGCGAAATATAAAACTTAAGAATGCCGGATGAAGCGGTGGCCTCGGAGCTCGGAGGTCAAGTCAAAGGCCCAAAGGTCGATGTCTGGCTGTCTGTAAATAACTCGGACAAAATTGGACGCAGAGCTGCGCATCTGGCATCTACCTACCACCGTGTCTGCCACGAGACACGTCCAGCCGCGTTGAATATCGTGCGTTTTGTTTGATAAAGCGTCAGGTCACCTTACATCAGTTCTCTAGGCCAGATCCAGCCGAATCAAATACACTGGCCCTGGCTATACGGCCTGCGTCAAACCAAACCACACGTTCCCTATCGTTTGCGTGGTCTCATTATTCATCTTGCCCACCAGTGAAACGAGCCGACCGTACCGTGAATAAGTAAATAAGCGCTGTGGCCAGCGTCCGTGCACTCCTCGCATTACAGCGAGGACTGCGGGGGTCGTCTCGCGGTACGTCACACCAATTTGCCGCAAAAACGCTCGATCGGCGCCAGCAATCTGCCATGCCGCAGAGATGAGCGGGTCGATTGGCACGGACCGTTTCGGGACAATATTGCGCTGTCGCCGCGAGCACAATGCCGTCGTGCCATCGATCACCGAATCACGTGAAAATATAGACACACGACCAAAACTGCCAGCGGGAAGAGGCTACGATACATAAGGCTTCCGCTCACGAGATCGAACGGTGAAGGACAGGTCTGAGGCCGTCGCGCTATCTGGTAGGTAAGCCGAAGCAGAATTTCAGTTCCCATCTCAACGTGAACAAATGCTTCCTGTGTTCACAATGCTTCACCATTTTATTCAGCCATGTCTTGTGCGTACGACGTAAATATTTTGCCTCAAGTCACCCAGAGTCGTATAATAAAAAATGAGCGACAACTTTGAGCAAACGTGAAGCTCCACATTGTCTCTTGCAACACAATTACCTAGATACCAAAAACTCTCCAAACATTACGTTTTCCCATTAATCCGTATATTTCGTACCAGCGTGACGATGATTTGTTTTGTTATGATGAGAATGACTGCTACAATGCAACTGCACCTGTTCAATGGGCAGTGTTCCGCGGCATATTAAAGTTTACCACCCGGACAATGATGACAGGGCCACGATGGCTGCGATGATACGATGAAAGCTAATGCCATGCTACGCATCATTCACGACGGCTTCAGAAGGCACATTCATATGAAACACACATACATCTGCACTGCTCCGTTTGAGCAGCGATAAAGCAAGTCATGCATATAAAAGCGGGCGCACAGGGCGCATCCAGTAACGTCACGCGTCGCGCTGAGCTGGGCCGCGTCCTCAGGTGTCCTATGCGCGCTCGTCCTGCTCCTGTATCGCCTCTGCGGCCAGGTCTGCCACCAGACCTCTGCGAGCTGACTTCCGCCGCTCGCTGGGCGCGCCGTCCCCGCCGCCGGCCGGCGTGTCGGGCGCCCCTGGCGGCCGGCTCGACACTCGCACTATGGGCGACAGCCGCAGGATGGCGCTCACGTCGCGGTCGACAAACGTTAGGTTGGGCGCCGCGCCGTCGGCCTGCGGGGTACTGATGGCGCGCAGCATTTCCCGCAGGTCGCGGGTGGGCGAGCCGAGCCCGGGCGACTGCCGCTCCGGCCCGCCGGCTGGGGCGGCGGCGGGAGCGGGGGCGGCGGCAGCCAGCTCCGGAGAGCCGTCGGCCGCCGGCCGGCCGCCCTCGCCGCCGCCGTTGTGGCAGGGCGGCTCCTCTGGCGGCGGCTGCCCGTCCTCAGCCGCCGCCGCGGGCCGTCCGGCCGTCATGCGGTGCGCCGAGCGGATCGCCTCTACCAGCACGCTCTGGATGCGCCGGTTGGAGGGGGTGGTGGCGGGCCGCGGGGTGGCCGGTGGTGGCGGAGCGCCCTCGCCGCCGTCCCCATCGCCGGCACCCTCGGCAGCCTCCGACAGCCGCTTCATGTCGAACTCGATCTCCTTGGCGAGCTGTTTGTCCGCCACCAGGATATCCTGGATCTGTAGCAGACGGAGGGCAGAGTGAGCACACCGGGGGACTTCCACACAATGTCACTGTAAATACGGGGATAAGGATACTAGGATGAACATTGACCAATGTGTGGGCAACTAGTTGCGCCCATGGTATA